AAAACAAAACCAAACATATATTAAATAGAGGCTGCTTTGCCTTAAGCTATTATTTGGGCCTTTTGATCTTTGTCTTCTCTATCACCAACATTCTGATACTTCACAGTGATTTGCCTTGATGTGAACCTTTTAATTTTTTAATTTTTTTGAGACAGAGTCTTGCTTTGCCACCCAGGCTGGAGTGCAGTGGCGTGATCTTGGCTCACTGTAACCTCTGCCTCCTGGGTTCAAGAGATTCTCCTGCCTCAACCTCCTGAGTAGCTGGGATTACAGGCATGTGCCACCATGCCCAGCTAATGTTTTTGTAGGTTTAGTAGAGACGGGGCTTCACTGTATTGGCCAGGCTTTTCTTGAATTCTTGACCTTGTGATCCTCCTGCCTGGGCCTCCCAAAGTGCTGGGATTACAGGAGTGAGCCACCATGCCCAGCTGAATCTTTTTATTATTATTATTATTTTTTGAGATAGAGTCTTGCTGTGTCGCCCAGGCTGGAGTGCAATAGCATGATCTTTGCTCACTGCAACCTCCAACTCCCAGTTTCAAATGATTCTTCTGCCTCAGCCTCCCAAGTAGTTGGGATTACAGGCGCCTGCCACCATGCCTAGCTAGTTTTTGTATTTTTTTTAGTAGAGACGGGGTTTCACCATGTTGGCCGGGCTATTCTGGAACTCCTGACCTCTTGAGACACCCACCTTGGTCTCTCAGAGCGCTGGGATTACAGGTGTGAGCCACCATGCGCAGCCGAATCTTTTTAAATTAGCTACATCAAATGTCCTATGGCTGTTTGTATGGAAGCTTATCCTTCACTTCTAGGACATTTTCTTTTATTGTTGATAACTTTCCCTATTTTCTGTTTTTGTGGAATTTATTTTAGTAGAATTGATATGACAGGCTGGGCTATGCTGGGTTAACAAACTCAGCAACTCAGTACCATAATACAGTACATTGCTTCTTACTGGTGTGAAGTGCAGTGTGAGTTGGGTAGCACTGCATCTCGCAACTCAGTTGTCCAGAACACCTAGGCTTCAGGGTTGCTGTGGCAAAGGAAGAGTGAATACATAGATTTTCATGTAATTCCTCTGTTTTCAGAATGGACTTCAGCCATGCCTTTAGTGAGTCTGGAACTTCTGTGGTTTTCATTTCTCCGGAGGAATGGGTTCTGCTGGATTGGGGATGGCGTAGGGCAGTAGCCTGTGGTATCAGGTGCTGCTGAAGGGGGTCTGGGACCTAGGTGCTCCTGAGGCAGAATTCCAACTGGTTTTAGCCCCACTTCTTTCCTCTGCCTTGAAAGGTTCCTGGTATCTCAATTTAATGAGCCCTTCTAGGGTACTGTAGTACACATTGGCTTGCCTGTTTTTGGCCATTCCATATGGCTGTAGGCCTAGGAGATCAGAGAAAACAAAAACCAAAGCCAGTTACTACTCGTCTACTTGCTTTCTACTTTCCTTTTTCTTTTCTTTTTGTTAAGACAGGGCCTCACCCTGTTCTCCAGGCTGTACAGTACCACCTTAGTAGCTCACCATAACCTTGAACTCCTGGCTTCAAGCAGTCCTCTTTCCTCAGCCTCCCAAGCAGCTAGGACTACAGGTACACTCCATGATCCCTCGCTGATTATTTTTGTAGAGACAGGGTCCTGCGATGTTGCTCAGGGCTCAAGTAATCCTGCTCTTGGCCTCCCAAAGTGCTGGAATTACAGGCTCGAGCTACTGCGCCCAACCGCTTTTTACTGTCAGAAAATTTGGCCTGGGCACAGTGGCTCATGACTGTAATCCCAGCACTGGGAGGCCAAGGCAGAAGAACTACTTGAGCCCAGGAGTTTGATTCCAGCTCAGGCAACATGATGAGACCCTGTCTTTAAAAAAAAAAAAAGAAGAAAATTCTCTTGGCATCCATTTTCTGTTAAACTTCTTCTCATTATCCTTGTATAGTTTCATCTTTTAAAATTTATCTACCACTATTTAGTAGGGCTTTGGCAGGACTGGAAAATAAAGCTTGTATTCAGATTACTATATGTAAGTGGCAGTTTCTACTTGTTCTTCATTCGCCATCTCTGGTCTGCCCCAGATTCTACCCAGAGCAAGGAAATATATATATATATATATATATAT